AGTCACAATACAACGAAATAAAGTCACAACACAGCGAAATAAAGTCACACCACAACGAAATAAAGTCATACCACAATGAAATAGTCATACCACAACGAAATAAAGTCACAACACAGCGAAATAAAGTCACACCACAACGAAATAAAGTCATACCACAATGAAATAAAGTCATACCACAACGAAATAAAGTCACACCACAACGAAATAAAGTCACAACACAGCGAAATAGTAACACCACAACGAAATAAAGCCACACCACAACGAAATAAAGTCACACCACAACGAAATAGTCACAACACAGCGAAATAGTCACACCACAACGAAATAGTCACACCACAACGAAATAAAGTCACAACACAACGACATAGTCACAACACAGCGAAATAAAGTCACAACACAGCGAAATAAAGTCACACCACAACGAAATAAAGTCACAACACAGCGAAATAAAGTCACACCACAGCGAAATAGTCACACCACAACGAAATAGTCACACCACAACGAAATAAAGTCACAACACAACAAAATAGTCACACCACAATGAAATAAAGCCACAACACAACGAAATAAATTCACACCACAACGAAATAAAGTCACAACACAACGACATAAAGTCACAACACAGCGAAATAAAGTCACACCACAGTGAAATAAAGTCACACCACAGCGAAATAAAGCCACAATACAACGAAATAAATTCACACCACAACGAAATAAAGTCACAACACAACGAAATAAAGTCACACCACAATGACATAGTCACACCACAGCGAAATAGTCACACCACAGCGAAATAAAGTCATACCACAACGAAATAAAGTCACACCACAACGAAATAAAGTCACACCACAACGAAATAGTCACAACACAGCGAAATAGTCACACCACAACGAAATAGTCACACCACAACGAAATAAAGTCACAACACAACGACATAGTCACAACACAGCGAAATAAAGTCACAACACAGCGAAATAAAGTCACACCACAACGAAATAAAGTCACAACACAGCGAAATAAAGTCACACCACAGCGAAATAGTCACACCACAACGAAATAGTCACACCACAACGAAATAAAGTCACAACACAACAAAATAGTCACACCACAATGAAATAAAGCCACAACACAACGAAATAAATTCACACCACAACGAAATAAAGTCACAACACAACGACATAAAGTCACAACACAGCGAAATAAAGTCACACCACAGTGAAATAAAGTCACACCACAGCGAAATAAAGCCACAATACAACGAAATAAATTCACACCACAACGAAATAAAGTCACAACACAACGAAATAAAGTCACACCACAATGACATAGTCACACCACAGCGAAATAGTCACACCACAGCGAAATAAAGTCATACCACAACGAAATAAAGTCACACCACAACGAAATAAAGTCACACCACAACGAAATAGTCACAACACAGCGAAATAGTCACACCACAACGAAATAGTCACACCACAACGAAATAAAGTCACAACACAGCGAAATAAAGTCACACCACAGCGAAATAAAGTCACACAACAACGAAATAGTCACAACACAGCGAAATAAAGTCACACCACAACGAAATAGTCACACCACAACAAAATAAAGTCACAACACAGCGAAATAAAGTCACACCACAACGAAATAAAGTCACACCACAACGAAATAAAGTCAAAACACAGCGAAATAGTCACACCACAACGAAATAGTCACACCACAACGAAATAAAGTCACAACACAGCGAAATAAAGTCACACCACAGCGAAATAAAGTCACACCACAACGAAATAGTCACAACACAGCGAAATAGTCACACCACAGCGAAATAGTCACACCACAACGAAATAGTCACACCACAACGAAATAAAGTCACTCACAGCACAACGAAATAGTCACACCACAACGAAATAAAGGCACAACACAACAAAATAAATTCACAACACAACGAAATAAAGTCACAACACAACGACATAAAGTCACACCACAGCGAAATAAAGTCACAACACAGCGAAATAAAGTCACAACACAGCGAAATAAAGTCATACCACAACGAAATAGTCACACCACAACGAAATAAAGTCACAACACAGCGAAATAAAGTCACACCACAGCGAAATAGTCACACCACAACGAAATAGTCACAACACAGCGAAATAAAGTCACACCACAGCGAAATAGTCACACCACAACGAAATAGTCACACCACAACGAAATAAAGCCACACCACAACGAAGTAGTCACAACACAGCGAAATAGTCACACCACAACGAAATAGTCACACCACAAAAAAATAAAGTCACAAGACAACGAAATAGTCACACCACAACGAAGTAAAGCCACAACACAACAAAATAAATTCACACCACAACGAAATAAAGTCACAACACAGCGAAATAAAGTTACACCACAGCGAAATAAAGTCACACCACAACGAAATAAAGCCACAACACAACGAAATAAAGTCACAACACAGCGAAATAAAGTCACACCACAACGAAATAAAGTCACACCACAACGAAATAGTCACAACACAGCGAAATAGTCACACCACAACAAAATAGTCACACCACAACGAAATAAAGTCACAACACAGTGAAATAAAGTCACACCACAGCGAAATAAAGTCACACCACAACGAAATAAAGCCACAAACACAAAGAAATAAAGTCACAACACAACTAAATAAAGTCACAACACAACGACATAAAGTCACACCACAGCGAAATAGTCACAACACAGCGAAATAAAGTCACAACAACACAGCGAAATAAAGTCATACCACAACGAAATAGTCACACCACAACGAAATAGTCACACCACAACGAAATAAAGTCACAAGATAACGAAATAGTCACACCACAACGAAATAAAGTCACAACACAACGACATAGTCACAACACAGCGAAATAAAGTCACACCACAGCGAAATAAAGTCACACCACAGCGAAATAAAGTCATACCACAACGAAATAAAGCCACTACACAACGAAATAAAGTCACAACACAACGAAATAAAGTCATAACACAGCGAAATAAAGTCACAACACAACAAAATAAAGTCACGCCACAACGAAATAGTCACAACACAGCGAAATAAAGTCACACCACAGAGAAAAAAAGTCCCACCACAACGAAATAAAGTCACACCACAACGAAATAGTCACAACACAGCGAAATAGTCACACCACAACGAAATAAAGCCACACCACAATGAAATAAAGTCACAACACAACGAAATAAAGTCACAACACAACAAAATAAAGTCACACCACAGCGAAATAAAGTCACACCACAGCGAAATAAAGTCACACCACAACGAAATAAAGTCACACCACAATGAAATAAAGCCACAACACAACGAAATAAAGTCACAACACAACGAAATAAAGTCACACCACAATGAAATAAAGTCACAACACAACGAAATAAAGCCACAATACAACGAAATAAAGTCACTCCACAACGAAATAAAGTCACACCACAATGAAATAAAGTCACAACACAACGAAATAAAGTCACACCACAATGAAATAAAGTCACAACACAACGAAATAAAGCCACAATACAACGAAATAAAGTCACAACACAACAAAATGAATCCACAACACTGGTTTGTCTAGATAAGACTCCTATTCCTCGGCTGGGATCGTGTATAGACTTTGAAGCTGCACTGAAACTGACATTTAGACCCCATTAAAGTCACTATATGGAGAAAAATCCTGGAATGTTTTCCTTAAAAATTTCCCTAAAATTTTGAATGGAATAAATTAACCCTTTCACGCACAGTGGTCACTAAAGTGGACAGCTATTCAAAAAATAAAATTCTTGCATTTGCATTGGTTTTGATGGCATAGTTGCACATAAACCTGTACAAGTGACAAACCAGTCAGAAATGCCAAGTTGTGCCGGAATATCAGTACATTCCTTCTATCCTAGGTTAAAAAAAATTTAAACTAAATTGTTGCATCAAGTAACATCTAAGGACTCGGAGTCATATCTGAAGAAAGAAAGACATGAACATCTTGGATGATGTGGAGGAGAGTAAATTATCCGGAGATTGTGAACTACTCCTTTAAGCTCTGTCTGCCGGTCTTCTCCATCGTCTCACCTGGTTGAGGGTTTTCTGCAGGAACGGCGTTCCCATGCGGTCGGCCAGGTGTCTATAACTGGAATGAGACAGGAAAAACTTCCTCTCCGCAGCCATAGCCGCAGTAATATCCTTCTTTCCGTCGATGTCTTTCTGACTGCGGTTCACCACACCGATGTAACCTGGAGTCAAACACACACATCATGAGAGAAGAGTCACATCATCTGATCTTGGCAGAACTTGATGAGAGATGTTTGAGTTCATACTCAGATTGCATGCTTTGTTATTTCTGCATATGTGAGCACAGTTTGAGACATTTATGCATTTACATTTATGCATTTTTATATTTATGCATTTACATTTATGCATTTGGCAGACGCTTTGAAAGCGACTTGCATTGCATTCAAGGTACACTGCAAAAAAAAAATTTCTTACTCAGTATTTTTGTCTTGTTTCCAGTCCAAATATCTAAAAATTCTTAAATCAAGATGCATTTACTAGATGAGTAACATGACATAAGATATGTCTTGTTTTCCAGGGGAATTAATCAAAATGAAGTGAGTTGATGCTTAAAAAAAGCAAAATTATCTGCCAATGGGGTCAGAAAAATAATGTTAATTCAAACAAACAAGATTATTTTTCTGACCCCATTGGCAGATCATTAAGCTTGTTTTAAGCAAAAACTCACTTATTTCCCTAGAAAACAAGACTTAATATCTTATGGCATTTCACTACTTTAGTAAATGCATCTTGATTTAAGAATGTTTAGATATTTGGACTGAAAAAAACAAGATAAAATACTAAGTAAGAAAAGCATTTTTTGCAGTGTAAACATTTGCATTATATCAGTTCTTGCTTTCCCTGGGAATCGAAGCTTGGTGTTGAAGCACCATATTCTCCTGTTTGTTACTCTGAGACCTTGTTAATTACTCTAAGAAACTGCTGAGAAGGGTATTGATCTATTTCTATGGGTTACAGGGTGTCCGCGGATCCTAAATTCCTTAGTGTAAAAATAAGGCCTTAATTAGCATTTAAATGTCCTACATCTGCGAAGCCTTGAGCGTCGATTTAAAAAAGTTACTGAAGTCCTTAGAGGACAAAAATATCTGTGTCAAAAAACTCTTAATAAAGCTTAAGTTTGCTCTCATTTTAAAGATCTAATTGGCTCTATAAGTATTTGCTTTATAGGCAAAACCTGAGAAAATGGTGCCATCTGGTAAAAAAAAAAAAATAGTACAAATTTTAATTTTGAAGCCTTGCCAACAGAATGAAAGCCTCTTAACAAAGACTGCATCATTTTATAGTTAAATGGCCCTGGGACGAATTAATTCTGTTTTAATGGGTTTCAATGGGGGCATTTTTGAAAATTCAAATTCAGGGTGAAATATGAAAATTCCAATAAAAATACACACTTCTGACAAAAAAATTATGCCGTTTGCATTAACACAGGCAAAATTATTTTAAAAAAATTGAAAAAGGGTTAAAAACACACAAGGGTTAAAAATGCAACGGAATGATTTCGATTTCACTCGCGTCCTTTTTAATGCATAAAGGTTAATAAAGACAGAATTGTTATATATTACTAAGTATAAAAAATTATTAATCCAGCATTAATATTACAAAATAGATTTTTTTATCTATATTTTCTTCTTTTCTAAACCTAATGTACAGAAATGTGAAAAGCGTCCATTGTTCATTTGATTTGATTTTGGTGGAAAGGTCTTGAGATTGCTACTAAACCACATTAAACTGGATGATGCTGATACCTGCAGATATGAAGTACACATAGAGAAAGAAATATGTCTGGATTAAAAGGTTAAACTCTCGTTGCTCATGCTTTCGGATCCTTCTAAAGCATGTTTGTGGTTTTGAAGACGCGTTTGATGGGAAAACCCGACGTGTGTGAAACTGCTGCTCCCGAGAGCTTCCCATAAACACACTCTGTTGCCGAGCAAAGAAAGAAAGCAACGTTTTTTCCAGATGTGTCACTGAAATGGAGACTTTCTGATTCTCTCTCAGACTCCAGCTAAGGCGTGATTCCACTAGAGGGAAACCATGAGGCGAGATCTGGTCAGCTGTAGTTTACCATGGTAAGTTTACTTTTTACCAAGCTCACCAAGTATACTTTTTACTAGTAGTTTACTTGCTACCCCAAGTCACATTTGCTGTCACAAATGTTGCTGAAACGTGATATAGTCTTTTCCACTAGTGTTTACAAATAAAATAAAAGCCTAATAGTTAATTAAATGAATTATTTTAAAACAAAAACAATTTAATATTTTGTTATACCTGCATGTTAAGTGACCATTAGCCAACATCATTGTTAAATTATTGAAATATTAACATAAAATCTCATGGATAAATAAATATTTTAGGACAAAAGGAAATACCAAAAGTTCAATAGCTGCTCACCGTTTCATTTTAGGACATCCAATGAGAAGTGATTTCAATATATTTAATAATAATATTAATAAATAAGCAATGAATTTGTGATATTTATAAATAAAGTCATTTTATTTCTACTGAATGAGGAAAATAAGAGGCACCTCACAATGTGGGAATTACGATTCAACTCTTCATCTACATTTTGTCTTATTTATTAATTAATTTAATAAGTCAAATTTATTTGTGCATTTTTATTAAACTAACTATATACAGGTGAAACTCGAAAAATTAGAACATTGTGCAAAAGTTTGTGTATTTCAGTAATTCAAATTAAAAGGTGAAACTAATATATTTAGTATATATAACTATATACATATGCATGATTATACTTTTCAGAGGGCCAACATTTCTGTATTTAAATAAAATCTTTTTTTATTTTTTTTATTTAATGTAATATTCTAATTTTCTGAGATTTTGAAATTAGGGTTTTCATAAGCTGTAACCCATAATCATCAAAATTATAACTTTTGCACGATATTCCAATTTTTGGAGTTTCACCTGTAATTATGAGCACTTTAAAAAAAAATTACAAATAAATGTCAATTTTTTTTTTTATAGTTTCCAAACAAGCATATAGTAATAAAGGGAGCAAAGAAACACTTTCTTTCACAGTGTTTTCAGTGTCAGAATGTTTGAGGGATTTTTCTCAGCATTATCGGTTTATATACAGAACTTGTTTGATGGTTTTAGTTTGTGTGTGACTGTAATTGAATCGTTGAAGAGAGAATGGGATTGAATGCATCTCAGAGCAAGTTTTGCTAGATGTAATGATGATAAAAGCGTTCTGGTTTGATTCAGACGACCGCCTCACCTCGTCTCAGTGGCAGGAGCTTGTTTTCCAGGATATCCCGAGCGTCGGTCCCTTCATCCATGAGATCGAGTTTAGTGATGACACCGATAGTCCGCTGACCTGCTCACACACACACACAAACACAGAACGCGTGAGAACACACACCACTTGGATGCATCACCACTGATATTTAACAGTCCCTTTAAGGCAAGTCGTGATTGGCTCGTGATTTAGAAGGCGGGACTTATTCCGCCATATTGTGCGTTGCACCGTCTTTGTATATGTAACGCTTTCCCCCCAATAAACCTGAAAATATCACACATCGCGAACAGAAGTTAAAGCTGCACCAGTTATTTATGTTCATAATTGCTAGACACTTCACATTTAGGAGAATATTTCCTTTAAAATTAGTGATGGACGATATATCGGTCACCATATCGGTATCGGGCGATATATGTTAATTTTTAATGTTATCGTTATCGGCCTGATAGGAAAATGTGCCCGATATATTAAAGCCGATAAATAATGTATTATTTCCTTCAGCTGAGACACTTTAGATGTGCACTGTTCAACATGATGGTTTTAAATTGCTTGAAATATGATTGAAATCACTTCAAAAAGGAAAATACAGTTATACAAGTCATATCGGCTACATAAAACTATAATGAGAACGTCATTATAATTGTGTGTTTGGGACATGGATTTTAATGGTGAGACTTTTGTTTTTGTAATCAGGCTCTCAGAAATTATATAAAAATTTGGATTTAGATTTATCGGCCAATATATCGGTTATCGGCTTTTAAATATAAAGAATTATCGGTTATCGGTATCGGCCAAAATTGTCATATCGGTGCATCCCTAGTTAAAAGTCAAAGCCTGTCCACAAGTTCACGAAGATAGTTAAGTTTCTGGTAACACTTTACATTAAGGTTTCATTTGTAAACATTAGTTAACTGCGCTAGTTAGCATTTACTCTTTCCATGCTAGCGTTTTTTTTTTTTTTTTTTTGCCAGTCAGATTATTTTTCAGCATTTTTGATCATTTTCACAAAACTTCCACATCCCCCAGAATATTTAGTTGTATGAATATCTGAACATGCCATTTTTCAAACAAATTTTTTTTATTTTAGTACATCAAGTTAAACTAAATGAAGATGGGAAATGTTGCCTTGGCAACTAGCTGAAATAAAATAGTTTTTCAATAGTATTTCAGTTAACGTTTACTTTGCCTTGGGTTTTGGCTTGCTTAGCTGGGGACATTTAATATTCAACAATATTATTGATCTGCCTTACTTAAGGTGGACAATGACGCAATTTTCTTCTAGAAACAAACTTTGTTGTATTATTTTTATCACTGTGAAGCTGCTTTGATACAATCTGTTTTGTAAAAAGCGATATATACAGGTGAAACAGGAAAAATGAGAATATGGTGCAAAAGTTCATTTATTTCAGTAATTCAACTTAAAAGGTGAAACTAATATATTATATAGACTCATTACATGCAAAGTGAGATATTTCAAGCCTTTATTTGTTATAATTGTGATGATTATGGCTTACAGCTTATGAAAACCTTTTCACAATATTCTAATTTTGAATTTGGGGTTTTCATAAGCTGTAAGCCATAATCATCAAAGTTATAACAAATAAAGGCTTGAAATATCTCACTTTACATGTAATGAGTCTATATAATATATTAGTTACACCTTTTAAGTTGAATTACTGAAATAAATGAACTTTTGCACGATATTCTCATTTTTCGAGTTTCACCTGTAAATAAATAAAGCTGACTTGATTTTATCTCATGTAACAAATTTTTTTTGTGTATGTGTGTGCATTGTTTTTAAACCCTTTTTTATAAAAATGTAAGCAAAAAGAATGAAGCGCTTGAGCTTTTTTTGTGCATATAATCAGAGGAATGCCAGGATGGATGTGCATGATGAGCTGAGACGCGGCACACACCCTGCGGGTCGACTTCTTTGGCGATCTTCAGCGCGTCAGAGTTGGCGAGGTCCGAGTTGGCGGGCGATACGGCGAGCAGAAGACAGTTGTCTTTGGTCACGAACTGCATCAGCATTTCTCTGATCTGCTGCTCGATGTCTGCCGGCTGATCTCCCACCGCCACTTTAGTCATTCCAGGCAGATCCACCAGCGTCAGGTTCAGCACTGCAGAGAAACACACACACACACACACACACACACACACACACACACATGACATCAGACTAACCCAAACACTCCCATTCTGACAGGAGCTTCTTTAGCTGCAAAAAATGCTTTTCTTACTTAGTATTTCTTACTTAGATGTATTTTTGTCTTGTTTCAGTCCAAATATCTAAATATTCCTAAATCTAGATGTATTTTTGTCTTGTTTCAGTCCAAATATCTAAATATTCCTAAATCTAGATGTATTTTTGTCTTGTTTCAGTCCAAATATCTAAATATTCCTAATTCTAGATGCATTTTTGTCTTGTTTCAGTCCAAATATCAAAATATTCTTAAATCTAATCAAAATATTCTTAAATCTAGATGTATTTTTGTCTTGTTTCAGTCCAAACATCTAAAAATGCTTAAATCTAGATGTATTTTTGTCTTGTTTCAGTCCAAATATCTAAAAATGCTTAAATCTAGATGTATTTTTGTCTTGTTTCAGTCCAAACATCTAAAAATGCTTAAATCTAGATGTATTTTTGTCTTGTTTCAGTCCAAATATCTAAAAATGCTTAAATCTAGATGTATTTTTGTCCTGTTTCAGTCCAAATATCTAAAAATGCTAAAATCTAGATGTATTTTTGTCTTGTTTCAGTCCAAATATCTAAAAATGCTAAAATCTAGATGTATTTTTTGTCTTGTTTCAGTCCAAATATCAAAATATTCTTAAATCTAGATGTATTTTTGTCTGGTTTCAGTCCAAATATCTAAAAATGCTTAAATCTAGATGTATTTTTGTCCTGTTTCAGTCCAAATATCTAAAAATGCTTAAATCTAGATGTATTTTTGTCTTGTTTCAGTCCAAATATCCAAATATTCTTAAATCTAGATGTATTTTTGTCTGGTTTCAGTCCAAATATCTAAAAATGCTTAAATCTAGATGTATTTTTGTCCTGTTTCAGTCCAAATATCTAAAAATGCTTAAATCTAGATGTATTTTTGTCTTGTTTCAGTCCAAATATCTAAAAATGCTTAAATCTAGATGTATTTTTGTCCTGTTTCAGTCCAAATATCTAAAAATGCTAAAATCTAGATGTATTTTTGTCCTGTTTCAGTCCAAATATCTAAAAATGCTTAAATCTAGATGTATTTTTGTCTTGTTTCAGTCCAAATATCTAAAAATGCTTAAATCTAGATGTATTTTTGTCTTGTTTCAGTCCAAATATCTAAATATTCCTAAATCTAGATGTATTTTTGTCCTGTTTCAGTCCAAATATCTAAATATTCTTAAATCTAGATGTATTTTTGTCCTGTTTCAGTCCAAATATCTAAATATTCTTAAATCTAGATGCATTTTTGTCTTGTTCCACTCCAAATATCAAAATATTCTTAAATCTAGATGTATTTTTGTCTTGTTTCAGTCCAAATATCTAAATATTCTTGAATCTAGATGTATTTTTGTCCTGTTTCAGTCCAAATATCTAAAGATTCTCAAATCAAGATGTATTTACTAGATGAGTAAAATGCCATACGACATTATGTCTTGTTTTCTGTGGGAATAAATCAAATTTAAGAGAGTTATTGCTTAAAACAAGCAAAATTATCTGACAATGTGGTAACAGGGTTCATATAGAAACTGTAAAATATAATTCCAGGACTTTCAAGGACTTTTCAAGCACTACAATCAGAGATCTCATTTATCAAACAATATCTTTCTTTATCATCTTTAAAATTCTAAAAAAAAAAGGTAAATAGATCAATAAAAATAAACGAATAAAACAAAATGGTACAAATAAAATGCAGCACATGCAGTAACTTTAATCATTGAAAGGATATTATGACAAAGATATCGCTTTCCTTATTCAAACTGATATTTTTCTCCCATGAATATATGATTGATCTAAAGAATGAAAGCTGTATCATATACGAAATGGCTCTATATCTATATCAGACGGGCTGCAGCTTCATTTTGTGTGAAAAGATTGTTTTATTGATAAAATTAAACACTAATTTCCCATATATTGTCTTTCAATAATTCAAGCGCTTTTCAAGTACCTTTTCATAAATTTGATTGTTTTTAAGGGTTTTCCAGGACTTACATTTCAAATAGTCAAATTCAAGTACTTTAAGCACCTTGTACAAACCCTGTGGTCAGAAAAATAATGATAATTCAAACAGAAACAATTATTTTTCTGAACTAATTGGCTTTTTTTGGCCTAACTCACTTAATATTGATTGATTTCCCCAGAAAACAAGACATGATATCTTATATAACATGTTACTCATCTAGTAAATGCATCTTGATTTAAGAGTTTTGAGATATTTGTAAAGAACTGTAATCGCATGCTAAGATCAGAGCTGTGATCTGACCGTTTGGCGAATAGACCCGCAGGTTGATGGGCACGGGTGAGATGCCTTTATTCTGTCCCGTGACCCGATCCGTCTCCGCCTCGATCTCCTGACGCACCTCATCGAAATCCGTGAACTTCTTCCCCTTACAGTGGAGGAACTCGGCGTATTCTGGGAGGACACAGAGATCATTACACAATATAAAGCCGGAAATAATAGTGAAAAACATCAATGCTTTTGAAATATAACAGTTTTATGACAAAAAAAAAAGTTTTTAGCATCATATTTATGAGAATACGGAGGAAAAAACAGTGCGGTTTTGTTCAGAGGCCCAAACTGAGCAAAAATATAAAAATTTACTGCAGATGCTGATATTTACAGGTGAAACTCGAAAAATTAGAATATCGTGCAAAAGTTATAATTTTGGTGATTATGGCTTCTTATGAAAACCCCATATTCAAAATCTCAGAAAATTAGAATTTTACATTAAATCAATAAAAAACGGATTTTAAATACAGAAATGTCAGCCCTCTGAAAAGTATAATCATGCATATGTATATAGTTATATATATTAAATATATTAGTTTCACCTTTTAATTTGAATTACTGAAATACACAAACTTTTGCACGATATTCTAATTTTTCTAGTTTCACCTGTATATGACAAAAATCAAGATGAAATTCTGATGCTTGTAATGTAAATCAATAAGATCTTTATAACAGTTTAACAGATACTTACATAAAATGCATATAAATATGCAAAAATGCATATAAATGCATTGCATTAAACTACAGAGCTTTGATAATAAACTAAGCATTTAAATATCATCTTACTAAGACATAGTATTGGCAGATATTGATATTTATATGACAAAACGTAAGATGAAACTAATGCTTGTAATGTAAATCAATGAGATCTTTATAACAGTATTAGATACTGACATAAAATGCATATAAATATAAATATCTGATGAGAGATGAACAAATAAACCTTCCTCAAAAGCCTGATGATCATATTTGATACACATGATTTTTCTTTTCTTTTTTTTAAATATATATATGTATGTATGTATGTATGTATAGATAATCAAGTAAACCTGCTTCAGTCCAGCAAGTTCATCTTGAAATATTACTAACTAGATCAAAATTAACATAAACTTACATTAACATTATGATGAGGTAGATTTATTTTACAGCAAGGTTTTGATCATGTTGATCGATTAGAGATCCACTTATAAATGAGTAGACAGTAGACTTTAATCAAATATCAACTAGTTAGTAAATTAGTAAACATCAATAATTATTGCTGTAAGTTCGAGGACAGCCCGCTCCACTAGAGGGCAGTGTTTCTGAAAGCTTTGTCCTGTTCCTGCAGTCAAACCTGATCCCAGACTAGCGCCGGCCCGCTGAAGCGGATGCTGATGTCATGCTAACCTGCTGTTGCTAGGCGACCGGACTCACCTGTGGGGCAGTTGATGAGCTGGAGGACGAGCGGACGGCGGGTGACGATGCCAGAGCCGCGCGGGAGGAAGTCCCTGAAGAACAGAGTTAGAGATGCATCATTCTACACTCTTCTACACACAACTCGAGCGTTCAGGTTTAAAGAAACAAATAGGTTCTGTATAAGGAGAAATGTCTTAAATTAATGCATAATACTTACATTTTTTCTAGTGATAACATATGTTTGCGAGCTGATTAATTCATAAACTGTAATCAAAATTTGAAAAAATGGATTTAAACAAGATTATTTCATTCAAACTGAATAGATATGATGGGAACCTCTCTATACAAGTTCATTTATTTCAGTAATTCAACTTAAAAGGTGAAACTAATATATTATATAGACTCATTACATGCAAAGTGAGATATTTCAAGCCTTTATTTGTTATAATTTTGATGATTATGGCTTACAGCTTATGAAAACCCCAAATTCATTGTGAAAAGGTTTTCATAAGCTGTAAACCATAATCATCACAATTATAACAAATAAAGGCTTGAAATATCTCACTTTGCATGTAATGAGTATATATAATATATTAGTTTCACCTTTTAAGTTGAATTATTGAAATAAATTAACTTTTGCACCATATTCTCATGTTTCCAGTTTCACCTGTAGAACGTTTTCTTGTAAGAGTGAAACGTTCAACTACAGTAAAGATGCTGAAACTATAATGTGATGACAGATAAAGAATGTTTATTGTGCATCGCAAAAGAAATGTTAAAATAGAACATGCAATCAGATCACATTGTAAATTTTAAAAGCAGTCACACTGTGTCACGGTGTTGTGCGGGTAGAAGAAGATGGCTGAGTCAAAAGCTCCAAATCAAACAGTTTTACTGATCAAAACTCACAGGTACAGACAGGCAGGCAGAATGACGGGCAGAAACACACACTAAACACAACCATATAACTTTAACAACCGACAAGGACAGACTGAACAGAAGCAAACTAAATACAAGCATGAATCAGACATAACAAGGTGAAAACAGGTGACACTGATGATGATAACGAAGGACAGGCTGGTAAGTGAGGGAGTGAATACAGGTGTGGAGACGAGGAGGATTCTGGGAAGTGTAGTGAAGATGACTAAGACAGACAGGTGCAGACGAAGACTGTGACAGAACGCCCCCCTTCAACAAGGCGCGACCTCGCGCCGTAGAACATCAATGGGGTGGGGGGGCGGGCGCCCTGAAGGCTGGCCAGGGCGTGGCCAAACTGGGACAGAAAGCCTCCAGGGCGGATCAGGAAGTGCAGGCGGCCAGGGCGGGGCAGGACGTGCAGGCAGCCAGGGCGGAGCAGGACGTGGGCGTGGCCAGGGCGGAGCAGGACATGGGCGTGGCCAGGGCGGAGCAGGACATGGGCGTGGCCAGGGCGGAGCAGGACATGGCCAGGGCCGTGGGGACCCTTCGGGCGGCCATGGCGGTGCGGACCCCTCGGGCGGCCATGGCGGTGCGGACCCTTCGGGCGGCCATGGCGGTGCGGACCCTTCGGGCGGCCATGGCGGTGCGGACCCTTCGGGCGGCCATGGCGGTGAGGACCCTTCAGGCGGCGAGGACCCTTCGGGCGGCCATGGCGGTGAGGACCCTTCGGGCGGCCATGGCGGTGAGGACCCTTCGGGCGGCCATGGCGGTGAGGACCCTTCGGGCGGCCATGGCGGTGAGGACCCTTCGGGCGGCCATGGCGGTGAGGACCCTTCGGGCGGCCATGGCGGTGAGGACCCTTCGGGCGGCCATGGCGGTGAGGACCCTTCGGGCGGCCATGGCGGTGAGGACCCTTCGGGCGGCCATGGCGGTGAGGACCCTTCGGGCGGCCATGGCGGTGAGGACCCTTCGGGCGGCCATGGCGGTGAGGACCCTTCGGGCGGCCATGGCGGTGAGGACCCTTTGGGCGGCCATGGCGGTGAGGACCCTTTGGGCGGCCATGGCGGTGCCCTATGGCCCCCCCCAAAAAAATGAATGGGGAGAGTGACAGAGTCACTACTAGTCTCTGGGCTGGACGGAACCAGCGGTGAAGGGGTCTCTGGGCTGGACGGAACCAGCGGTGACGGGGTCTCTGGGCTGGACGGAACCAGCGGTGAAGGGGTCCGTGGGCTGGACGGAACCAGCGGTGAAGGGGTCTCTGGGCTGGACGGAACCAGCGGTGAAGGGGTCTCTGGGCTGGACGGAACCAGCGGTGAAGGGGTCCGTGGGCTGGACGGAACCAGCGGTGAAGGGGTCTCTGGGCTGGACGGAACCAGCGGTGAAGGGGTCTGTGGGCTGGACGGAACCAGCGGTGAAGGGGTCTCTGGACTGGACGGAACCAGCGGTGAAGGGGTATCTGGGCTGGACGGAACCAGCGGTGAAGGGGTATCTGGGCTTGACGGAACCAGCGGTGAAGGGGACTTATGGGCTGTAACAGATGTGTGTGCAGCCCACACACACAAAACAGCCATGGACCCCACAATGAGAACCGTGTCTTCCAGAGCAGCATGGTCGGTCTCTGGCTGGACGGTCTCTGGCTGGACGGTCTCTGGCTGGACGGTCTCTGGCTGGACGGTCTCTGGCTGGACGGTCTCAGCTTTCCGGATGATGGGTGGCGTGGTTAAGATGGCTGGTGTGTGTGATTGAGTGGTGATGTCATCCACAACCTCACCTACGGTGAAGGCCGATCCACTCAACCACAACACATGATCAAGGTAACTGGCGAAGGTACCTGAAAAAGCTGCTGCTGGGGCTAGCTGGTATAGGCTCTCGTCTAGACCGCCCCAAAACACCGACTTCAGGACGTCGTCTGTCCAGCTTACCCCCACAGAAAGCTCCAGGAAGCCGGTGACATATTCTTCTATGGAGCAGCCGTCTTGAAAGCAATGGATTAGACGATCGACTGGGGTGAATGGAGAGTGAGCTGGGTTTACCGGGGTGAGAAGAATTCCCATGCTGACTCTTGTTTTGGGTCGGTTGTTCTGTCACGGTGTTGTGCGGGTAGAAGAAGATGGCTGAGTCAAAAGCTCCAAATCAAACAGTTTTACTGATCAAAACTCACAGGTACAGACAGGCAGGCAGAATGACGGGCAGAAACACACACTAAACACAACCATATAACTTTAACAACCGACAAGGACAGACTGAACAGAAGCAAACTAAATACAAGCATGAATCAGACATAACAAGGTGAAAACAGGTGACACTGATGATGATAACGAAGGACAGGCTGGTAAGTGAGGGAGTGAATACAGGTGTGGAGACGAGGAGGATTCTGGGAAGTGTAGTGAAGATGACTAAGACAGACAGGTGCAGACGAAGACTGTGACACACTGCATGTTTATTACAATAGCTCAATTATTTCTACCAAAATTGGGTTTAATTCAAATGTGATGCATTTTTAATCCTTTGCTCTGAGAATATGAAGAATTTGCGGGACGAATTTAGTTACCGGCACAAATATTGTGTGTAAATAATGTGATGTGCAGCATCTCACTTGCATCAAATAATATAATAATAAATAAATAATGTTTAGTGTGCATTGCGAAAGAAATGTTAAATGAATTTAATTGCAATTAAATTACATTTTAAATTTTAATATCAGTCACATTGCATGTTCATTATAGTAGCTTGATTTTTTTTTTTTAAAGTTTATGAATATAATTGATAAAATCAAGTTCTACCAAAATTGTGTTTTATTAAAATGTATGCATTTTTTAAATCTATTGCTCTGAGAACATGAAGAATTTGCGGGATGAATTTTGTTACCGGCTCAAATATAGTGTGTAAATAATGTGATGTGCAGCAAAATCATATAATAATAAATAAATATTGTTTAGTGTGCATTGCAAAAGAAATGTTAAATTAGAATATGCCATCAAATTACATTTTAAATTTTAATAACAGTCGCATTGCATGTTTATTACAATATCCTGATTATTTTTTACCAAAATTGTGTTTAATAAAAATTTGAATAATTTTTAATCCTTTGCTCTGGGAACTTGAAGAATTTGCGGAACCAGTTTAGTTACTGGCACAAATATAGTGTGTAAATAATGTGATGTGCAGCAAATCATATAAATAATAAATAAATATTGTTTAGTGTGCATTGCAAAAGAAATGTTAAAATAAAACATTAATTTAATTGCAATTAAATTACATTTTAAATTTTAATATCTGCCACATTGCATGTTCATTAAAGGGATAGTTCACCCAAAAAATTAAAATTATCCCATGATTTGCTCACCCTGAAGGCGTCCTAGGTGTATATGACTTTCTTCTGTCAGACGAACACAATCAGAGTTATATTAATAAATGTCCAGGGCTGAGTTTCCCGATAACGTTGTCTCTTAGCGCGCTACGAAGACTCTTAAGGTATAACTTAACTGAAGGTATACCATTTCTAGGCGTGTTCCCCGAACTATACCTTAGAAAGCTGCTTAAGATATACCTTCTTACGTGCGACGTTACCGGGTGCTGTCCGTGGCGATGGTGCAGAATCTGTTGATATCGATGACTCGAGAATCCATTATTCTCTCGTGCAGGGGCTGTTTATGTGAGAAAGCGCTGTTCTTTATAAAAGAACCACTTCAGAAATAGTTGAAATTGCATTTACTAGGACTCATGGGATATTATAAAAAATAATCCAAACTATAACAGCCTATAATAGCCTTGCCTACATATTTAAAAATTGTATCATATATTAAATTTTTGATGTGCTTTCTTCTCTTTCCCATTTTTGTTCGCTGAGGTGAGCTGCGATGAAATATTGTTCTTGTAAATACTTCCAAGCATTTAAGTAATCAAAGTGTACGTCACGTAGCTACGGTGCTCGGCAGCGATCAAAAAGGATTTAAACAGCGAATCTCTTCTTGTAAACTCAGAGATGTGGATTCAGACGGCAATTAAATTACCACACGACCTGTTTGTCAAAAATCAGTAGGTACTAATTTGGACAGAGATTTTTACGCGGGTTGGGTGAAAAAAAACACTGATATTATGGATTCGGACGGCACTAAAATAACCGACTTACCCCTGTAAATGTTTAAAATACCGTACGAGCCCATGATAAACA